ATTTTGAAGACTATAGAGTTGAACATTAAAATGTTGTAAACTCAGGATTGGGTCGCCTGTTCAACGACGGTTATAAAATAAAATAAAAGACCAGTCAACATCTGTTTAAACGGAGTGAATTATGTACAAAATGTTAACCTCCAGTCTGATTGTAATAAAACACCTCACTCATGTTTTCTTGGGAGCAAAAAAAAATATTTTATTTTTCGTTTAACAATCTAGTTTTAACTACACATTGTTCACATACAGGATATATTATAAATATTAATGAGAGTCTATCTTCATGATAAATACAGGGGTCTGTCCAGACATTTTGTGAAAGGTCCGTTTTTCGTGAAATTGTGAAAAAATTACTCACATTCTTTCAACCAGGGTTCACTTTTATGAATTTGTGCAAATAGGGTCCGTTATTGCACAAAAAAAAAATTTTCAAGGAGTTTTTAAATTGCATAGACATACAAGATTATGTTCAACACTGTAAAATTGTAATTAAAAAAATTAAATTTTAAAAAATAAACAACAATTGCTCCTTCTAAATTAGAGATGCAACATACAAATATTTGGTATTTAGCCTATACTGCTGAACGCAGAATATTCATTTCGGACGAATAATGGAAGAATCGTCTGCCGAAGACAAAACTTAATTCGTTTACATCCATCTTTCTTGTTTTCTGCCCTGGAAAGGGTTTATTCGATTAACAAAATAATAATGAAGATAAAAAAATTTGTGAAGGGTCCGATTAAAAGAAAAATTCATTTTGTGAAGGGTCCGTTTTTAAGTTAAAATATTTTGTGAAGGGTCCGTTTTTATGAAAAGATATTTTGTGAAGGGTCTGTTAACGGACCCAAATTTCTCCTAAACAGACCCCTGAAATAGTACACATATTTTTATCTTACCATACAACATATTTAATCGTTATTGATATTTTGTAAAAAGGACTACTAATTTAATAACTCATATCCGTTAAATTTTAATGGGATTTTTCAGCTTGCAATTTTTGTTTGACTAAGCAGGATTTTAAAAATGTTTATGTTGTCTGCAAAACTTTCAAGACAGAGCATTTATTCAAAGTATTTATAATATGACTCAAAATATTATTCTAGAATTTTAAAAAGCAAATATCCCTGACCCGCTTCTTTATACATTTATCATTTTAATTGTTTCTAAAATGCAGGGAAACCAATAGTCATTGAAAATAAAGAGGTTGTTATTAACTTTATGCTCCACTGCATTTTGTTATGAAATGCTGATATGATTTATTTTATTTATTCAACGGATGATAATGTTCTGTAGAATGAATGATTTAACTTTATAGAATACTTTAATATTGGGAAATCGAGATATACGTGGGTGGTCTAAAAAAGATTTATCCAGGGAAATAGGGAGTGTATGAAATGCTTTAAAAATGATAATAAATATATGTATCCATTATTTGTGAAAGATGACATCAAAAATAGGGTAAACAAGGAGCTTTTTTTTTTTTTAGAATATTTTAAATTGCTATTATTAAACTTAAATAAGGGTGTCAAAATCAAATATTTTTTATTTTATTTTAAAGCTTTTTATTTTAATTTAAAGCTATATTATGATATCAAATAAAATTGTTAATCTGCTTCAGCAAAATTTTTTAATTGGCAACGTTCCAGTCACGGTGGCTCAGGAAATAGAAAGTTTGCCTCTCAGTCATGTGACTCGGGTCCGAATCTTAGCGATGGAACCTGAGTCACCTGATTGGTCAAATTCTATTCAAATTCTGCTCGCACCAACTACAGTGCCGATCAAAAATTCCCCAGAGAGAGCCAGATTTTTGGTAAGAAATTCCTTTTTGTCGGGCTAACCATGGGGAGAGAGGTTTCATATTCATACAACGCAAATGCAGGTTAGTTAATTAAAAACTAGGTTTGCCCTAGTGCATGATATAGGAGTTACCTTATCTTCTGGGTGGGGTTCAAAATTACAAAACAACAGAGTTGAACATTGATAGACGTAAATCCAAAACTGGAACAACTGTTCAACGATCGTTATAAAATAAAATAAATCGGTAGCGTCCGAAATAATTATTCACTTTAAAAATTTGAGCTCCGCATATCAAATCAATTTGATTCACATTACTTCGATCAAAATAGCAAATTGGTCGAGCTTTTGTTAATACTTTTTAAGAACAAGTTTCGCAATTTTGTTATTGCAATTAATTAACCCCTTCGGACTTGTCGTCCGGTATAACGGACATCAATCTTAATCGACCTTAATTAATAGTCATCAGAATCATAGGTTTTTTTGTTTTATTTGATGATGAAGACGCCGTTGTTTTTTAAAGGGAACATCTTGAAGCTACAGGGATATTCCAACTGAAGGAGATGTTTTAAGGCTATAAAAATATTTTGACTGAAGAGTCCTTGAAGCTGGCACTTTTTAGGGTTTTGCTCAAAATTATGAGTTAAAATTAAGCACTTGTTTTTTTAAAATTATTATTAGGATAACAAATAATTTTTGAAAAGACATATTATTTAATTCCCATAACATGCCTCGGAAAGTCCCACAACCGAAAGTCCATAAGAGTTACCAAGGACTGGTATCTTAAAATTTAACAATGAATCGAATAATGGACAAAACTTTGAGCCTCTTTTTCATTTATTTTGCGTTTCTTTCAGCATATGCAAATAATATCAGCATATTAAGTAATTGAAATGAAATAAAAAATATTAACAATAAATCAAACATAGTAAACCACTGCCGGTTAAGCCAGAACACATACAATCAAGTCCGAATATAATCCCAAAATGATAGGGATTCGGATGAATTAAACAATTTCGTCCAGAGCAGAAGGAAGAGATTACTTCTCCACATCGTAATCCTGGGACAGGTGGAAAACCCTTTCTTTCCGAGAAATTAAGTCCTTGAATGGGGGCGAATATGATTCAGGCGTGACGTCATACAACGCTGAGTGGGTGGCAACAGGTGGTCACGCTCACGGAGCAAAATCAGGTTCTATTATTTTTACAAACGGCTACACTATTTGAGGCAAACGAGAAAAATCGTGCTGATTTTTTTTTTTTAATGCTGTCCTTCGGAATGAATTAAACTTCTTGTTTACCCTGAACTAGAACTTAACTACTTGTTTACGGGAATAGAAACAATCTTTTTTCTTTTCATCTCATTCAAATATCGTGATTTTTATTTTTTATGGATAAGTTACGTGTTGTAGCGCAACACATGAAGGGAAATAAATTATGACTGCGGCCTCCTAACATGTGACCCCGGTTATAGAAATGCATGTAATGTATTTTTGTAATTACGTGCATAGGATTCCATGAAAGCGTCGCAGGGCTTCCGAGACTTTTTGAAACTAGTTATGATTTTTAAAACCTGATATTGAATTTATATTCAAGTAATAACCCTTTATTTATAAAAAATTTTTGCTTTTTTTTTATGAAATTATTTAAATTAAGCGCTCGTGAAGAAAGAAAAGCAAAATTTAAAAAAAAAAATATTCTAACAATATAAAAATTATTAAAAATATTGCATTAGTATTTTGTATCGCACTTTCCAAATTAAGATTAAAAAAAAAAACTAAGATACTTTCAACAATGAAGAAATACGTAATCTCTGATCACCATTCTCAACATTCGTTTTCATCTTTCTTGGTTTTAGATTGATTAAAAACCATATTTCAGCTCATTCATTTAAACTTTTCAATTTAAAATAAAAACGTCTTTTAACGATTAAGAAGTACGTTTCTCTGATCGCCATTCGCAACGTTTATCTTCGCTCTTCTCCGTTTTTCATTAAAAACCATATTTCAGCTCATTCATTTTAACTTTACACTTAAAAATATATTTAAAAAAATAATAAAAGAAAATATTCTTAGTAGTGAAGATAAACGTTTTTCTGATCCCCATTCTCAACTTTCATTTTCGCCGTCCTTCGTTTTAATTTCATTGAAAACCATATTTCAGCATTTTTTTTCCTTCTTTTTTATAACCGTCGTTGAGCAGAAGACCGAATTTTTGCGTTTGCGACTACTTATGTTCAACTCCGTAGCCTAATAATTTTGAACCCAATTCAGAAGACAAGGGAACTCCTAGATCAAGTATTGAGAGAAATTATTTTTGACTTAACCCGCATTTGAATTACATGGAGAAGAAAACCACGAAAACCTCCCAAGGTTAGCTTGATGGCAAGGGGACTCTAACCCATAATCCGTCTACGACTGATAATATTTTATTGAGGAGGAAACTTTTATTCTAAAATATTCGATAATTTTGTAATAAAATAATTAATCTGAAATAACAGCCAATAAAAATTTTACTTATCCCTAGAATAACTCCAATAAAAAATTAAAATACTTGTTTACAATAGACATAAATGTCTTAAAACTCACCTCAGATGCTCTAATTTAAAATTGCTTATTTTTTTAAAATATATGAGTGTATGTAGTTCGATTGCAATAACTAAAAAAATCTCTTTCTGATTTATTTAAAGGTAGACATGGAGCAAAAAATTATCATTAAATAATTAAGTAACCAAGCACTCTTAATTAAATAAATCGTTATTTCGTTTAATAAAAATCAAACTATTTTCAAACTATTCATAATAATTTTTAACAAAATAACGCATTTATAGTGTTGTTCGCATGATTTTTCAACTAATGCATAAAATTAAATTAAAATAACTCAGTTACAGAAAATGGAAAACTTTTTCTGTGCAAAATAACTTTAACAATGTAAAATAAAATAAACTTTACATCGCTAAAATAAATCAGCAATTTAAAAAAAAAAAAAAAAATTCGTTACATTCATTGCATTGTTTTTGTAAACATTATAATTATTCGCGATGAACTTAAAAAATAAGATTTCTGCAGAAATTCATCAATGTTTACAAAAACTAGTTGAAGTCTCTATTTAGCCTTTGGGCGAATGTATATATGCAAATGAAAAAAATTTAAGTAATAACATAACTGAAAGCACAACAAAAAAAGCAAGAGAAAAGCTGAACATACCTGTCTTACGAGTCCAACGCCGCCAAGCCAGGGCAACCCCTAGGCCCCCAACAACAAACGTGACGATTATCGTGGCCACAACGATGCCGGCAACCCCTCCAGGTGGATAACATGTCTCTTGAGCAGAACACACAGGTACAGAAGCAGACGATATTACTATCGTCCAAAGAATAATCCAATAGTTACACATTTTGCAAAAGGACGAAGATCTTGATGTTTTAAATTTTCTTTTTGACATAAACAAAATCCAACTTTTTTAGTCCGAGGTCTGGCCGCCTCGTCATGGCGAGTTCGATGCACCTGTAATCAACTCCAACAGGTGGATTTTTCGCAGACGACTATTTGTCCCTTTTCACAATAATTCGACATATGGAATACAAAGAGGGCGGGAAACAAGTACAATATATTGGAATTCCTCTCAATGGGCGTTTCTATGTTTCAGCTCTGTTTTTTAGTAGGAATCAGAAAAACGCGATCAGCGCCGTAAACAAATGTGGTTAGGACGCTACAAACTTTTCGGTAGAACTTCGAAGGAGAGGGTTGCGCGTCCACCCATCTCCCTACACCCATGAATGATGGCGTTTTCCCATTGGACAGCGTTTCAGGTTGAGTAAACTTGTGCTGTTCTTTCTCAGGTGAGTGGGATTCGGTTTTAGGTGTTCCATTTTCGGTTTCGCAGCGGCGCATCATTTTTCTAAATGAATGGCAGCTTTATAATCCGCTTTGAAGTGGATTAGTTATGATGAATTTATGGATTACACGAAAATGCTTGTGAGAAAATTTACTGTGGCATAATTCTTGTTTTTTTTTTTGGTCGATCGTCTAGTTTGGTTGTCTCTTAACTAGTTTTGAAAGGTCAAAGATGGAAATAGTTAATTATACGCGAGATGGATTATTTATTACAAATATTCTATGAAGTTTTCATGCTGTTATTTTTTAGAGCTGCTTTTCCAATGAAACAGGTTTTAATGTTTTAGATTAAGTTATAAAATTAAAATACGGAAGTCACAATTTTATCACGAATACATTAATAAAGCATTGCTGTAAGCTGCATACAGCTGCATGAAGGTGAAAAAAACGGTTGAATTTTTAATAGTTTCTAACAAATAAGTTTTTAAAAAATTATAAATTTAATACAAAACGTTAATAGGAGATAAAAAGTCGGACATAAAAATTATCCTATTAATCGGCACTCCTAAAACTTTGAATTTACGTTGATTAGATTAATTTGAAATTTCGTAACATATTATATTGGTTGCTCCTTAAACACAACGCTTAATATACAATCGTAGCATAGTTTTCCAAACTGGAAACAAAAAAATACACACATAAGGAGTCGCCAAATGAATTTTAAGCGAAGAACAGAAAAAAAAAACGTTGACAAAAACTTACAAATCACTAGTAAGGAGAGCGTGATGAAAAACTTTAAGGTTTGCATTTTCTCGGTAGATCTTCGAAAGAGAGGGTTGCACGTCCATTAAAATTTTACATCGTATTTTCAGATATTTGAGCATGCAAATAATATATTTAATAATAATATAAAATATGAATGAGCTGAATAGTTTCATCATTATTTAATTAAATAATAAAAATAGGAAAATATTACAAAAAAAAATGACTTTTCATCTTTGATTAATATTTTCTTTCATTATTCTTCGGTAAAATATTTATTTCGGCTCACTAAAGCATTATGCATTTCTGATCTCATAATTGGCAAAATTTTCTAAAACAATACAGCTCTGATGCAAAATATTAGCATAATTGAAAAATTCGACTTTGATCGAATAATTGAAAAATTAAACATTATATAATAATTAAAAAAATCGACATTTATTGAATAACTGATAAATTCGTCTCTTACTGTATTTATTTGCTTTTTACTTATTTAAATTAAATTACAAATTTGACGCATCAAATATATATACTCACAATATGTTTAAAAATTAAAAAATCAAAACAATGCATAAATTAATAACACAATTTATTTTTCAAAATAATCGAAATATTGGAATAAAATTTTACTCGGTTATAAATCTTAGAACATTTCCTTATAAACAATAAAAATTAATTATAAATGGAAAAAAATTACTTAATTTTTGGTAGCATCGCCTTTATCTTTGAACACTGTATATAAACGATCTTGCTTGAAATAATCAAATTTTTGGCAGTCGTTGCTTCTTTTAAATTTATTTATTTTATTTATCGTCTGCATTAGCTTTAGTAAATTTAATGTTCTCGATTGCCACAGCTTTGTTTATAAGAGAATTTTTTTCGTACTAGCTCCCCATAAATTCTCGATTTGGTTAAGATCAGGTGAATTAGCTGGCCACGGTAGCAGTGCAATTTTGCATTGCTCCAGCCAGAACTTTGGCTTAATATGATGTGTGAGGTGAAGTTAAATCTTGTTGGAGAAAAAGTCATTCAGTCTTCAGACGATAGAATCATGTTAGTGCTCCAGAATATTTTGTTATCTGAATTTACCTCTACTTTACCTTAGAAGTCTATTTGCGCTCATGCAATTAATTAGATACCACTGATATCTTGACACTAGCAACAAATTTCACTGAACGTTTCTGGCACCCTTTATTAAATGCTTTTCGTTCCATTCTCCAAGTTCGAACACCTTGAAAGCTACACAGCAGAATTGTTTTTTCCCCCCATTCTCCAAGCCCGATAACAATCTTGCTTTGCACTATCTCAATTTAGCAAGCTTTTGTTTTACTGTCACTAGTGGTTTTGTTTTCGGAACACGAGATTGAAACTTAAATTTATAAAGACGTTGTAATGTCGGTTTCGAAAAATTAACTCCTTCTCTCCATTTCCAATGCAAAAATATGGTACAGTCTTATATCACTTAGTTAAAAACTATAGCCTTCAGTTTTCTGTCATTTCTGGAAGAAATTTTCGGTATTCATCCATCATTGCGACGAGTATTTCTAAATTTTTCATTCTTTCGGATACTGTTGTATGATTGTGAAAATGGTTGATAAAGATCAATTTAAATAATTATTTATATATTGCTGATTTTTAACTTGTCGTTTTAAGTCATTTATTCGTTGTAAGTAATTATTCGTAATTTTATTGATTCTAATATCCTACGTAAACGTTCCATTTCGATACAAATTCCAAGCATAAAGCACAGTAAAGAAGTCCTTTTATGATAATCGTCTGCAATAAATTTAAAATTTTCGTAATTTTATTTGTTAATTTTTGCTTGTTAACTTGTTGATCTTTAAATAGAAATATTATCATAACATATTCTGATAATTTGGGCCAATTAAATTATATATCTTGACAATTATATTTTAAATTGTTATCTTCTATTTTAAAAAAATCAGCAGTCGTTGTTTAGTTGAAAATAAATTCCTCACAGAAATATCGTTTGGATATATACGTTATATAATACTTAAAAATAAAGCGTTTGATTTTCATCGGATGAGTAAAATGGATTATTCTATTATTTTGAAAAAGAGTATGTTCAAAATTTCCGCAGATGTTCCGTTCTTAATAGTCCTCGCGGTACAAACAAACATATTTAAAACTTCTTTCATTCCTATTTATAACTTACTTAAATACAGGTAAATAAATGAATGAAAATTTCTCAAAGGAAGCATTAGAAAATTCGTAAGTTTTCACTAATTTTATATTTTTCTTCCCTCTACATAAGAAACAAAAAATTTTGAAACATTTTCAGTTTTTTAAAATGTTATTATAATTAAATTAAAAATTATTTAATTACTAGTTATTGTCGCTGAAAAACTCTTTTACGGGTAGGAAAATCTCCTCCTACAATTACCTATAAGTTTCGATTCAAAGAAATGTAATTTTTCTAATTTGAAACTTGTTAGTCGAATTTCCGGGTTATTGAACGATTGTTTGCACAGATGAAATGCTATGATGACTCCAGAATAAAACAAAGAGTTCGGTTTCCGTTATTAAATATTACAAGAAAGTATTAATTTTGATGTTCTTTTTATTAATAAAAAATGTTTGAGGTAACTCTTACTCATAGTTGCGTACACACATTATAACATGAGGTATTTTGAACCTCATAATACGTGATGTACAGATGTTCTGGGTAGAATACCAAAAAAATGTGGCTCTAAGGTGGTAGAGCTTGCGGTTTCATTTTCGTAAGGAAAAAAAACAAATTTAATACCAAAAGCCACACAGATAAGCATGTGAGCCATTTTTTAATTCTATTTCTCAATCAAATCAAAGTTAATTAAATTTTCTAAAATCCATTTCTTACTCTTTATTTTTTCAGACATTTATTTAAATTCTCCTATTGTACTTCTTAAAAATAATTAATTTTATTTAAATTGGAGATGATGAAACAGCTTATAACCGTTCACCCAGAATACATTGTTTCGACGGATTCTTGGTCCTGAAGAATGTTTCCAATAGAAGAACTTAATGTTTTATCCATACATTTAAATCATTTATAATTACGTGTATATAATTAGAAGAGAGTATTAAACCTAATACTAAAATCAGCTTTTTATTTTTTTTAAGCAGAAATTGGTACTTTAAATAACTTAGAAATTTTGTAGAAAATACATTGTATGTTTGTCTATAAATACAACTTTTGTTGTGAACATACACTTTCAGATTGTACCTTGGACCATTGCATGTTACTCCTAGGGTAACACTCATTTTGAGTTTTTTTTCCTTAATCATGTTGTTTGAATTTGGATATTCATGTAATTAAAACTTATTTTTCATGTAGGCTAAAATAAATCGAATTAATCATCAGCGTCATTGCCAAGAATATTTCATTAGAATATTTCAAAAAAAATTTTAGATTACTGGGAATATAAAAAGTTTACAAAAATTAAATATCATGAGTGTAGTCCATTGGAAAATATATTTGTGCTAACTGGACCTGTTTCACATAACTCAGATCAGTAGAAGGTTTAATACAGAGATTAATAAAAGGCACACTTTTTGATTTTGCCAAAAAATGTGTTCTTCATTCGTTAAAATATCAGATAAAGATATGGAAAAAAGGTACTTAGTGAAATTATTCTATATTTCTATGCAATTACCTGATCCTTGATATGCGGATTTACGCAATTTAATTCACACCAACAGAAATTCTTCTACCGGAAGTTGAATCAACCTCTACAACTATCCTAAAATATAAAATTTGTTTTTTTAGGAAGTTGAATCTACCCTACCGTGGAGAACACGAAAACTGTCGGGAATAAGGTGAATACAAAATTTCATTCACTTTTCAATAAAGTATAAGCTGTTAGCACATCCAACCTACAAATTTCATTGGGATCCTAATAATGTGTTAAAAGAAATAGCTGTACTTTAAAACGAATTAATATGCTTAAATACTAAAAGAAAAAAAATTCATTAAAAAAAAGCCAAATTGTCGGGATTAAAATTATTAAAATCAATCAAAAACTTTGAATTTTTAGAAAATTTATTGAATGTACAATTTGCGTAATTTTCAATTTTTGCATAATTCGAAGAATGAAACATTATAGTAACTTTTCAAATTTAAAAAAGATTAAATCACTAAAGCTTTTTATTTTTCCCCAAAATGTGGTTTTTATTTAAATTAACA